ACGGGTCCCTCCCGGGGGCCCCGCTCCAGGGCCCGGGCTGGGCGGCGGCCAGGCTGAACTACGTCCATGCTGAGGCCAGGGGGAAACGCCTCATCCTCCTCCTCCGCCTCCTCCGCCTCCTCCTCCTCCTCCTCCTCCTCCTGCTCCGGACCATCCTCCTCCTCCAGCGTGTTCCGAAGGGGTCCCGCCAGAACGCGCTGTGCACAATTGATGGCCTGAGTTGTCATTGTGCGCGTGAGGCTGACGAAGAGCCTTCTCGACTGGTACCAATACCGAGACCCCTTCGCCAGGACTGTTTCGCAACTTTTTTGAGCCGTGTTGGGCGCATCTTGGGCCGTCTTGGGCTCGGGAGCGGAGAGGGGAAGGGAATGTCCTCCAAGTCTTCCTCCTCCTCCTGCTCCTCCTCCTCCTCCTCCTCCAGATCCTCCTCCTCCTCCTCCTTCTCCACCTCGTCCAACGCGTTCCGAAGGGGTTCCGCCAGAACGCGCTGTGCACAATTGCTAGCTTCGTTATTCATTGTGCGTGTGAGGCTGGCGAAGAGCCTTGTCGACCGATACCTATACCGAGACCCATTGCCAGCGCTGTTTCGGTATCGTTTTGGGCTGTGTTGGGTCCCTCTTGGGCCGTCTTGGGGTCGGGTGCGGAGGGGAAGGGAATGTCCTTCAGATCCTCCTACTCATCTATTTTTCCATCGTCCAAATCCTCATTCTGCCCGGCCGTCCTGGGGACTTTGGGCCGTCTTGGGGGCCTCTTGAGCCGTCTTGGGGCTCTCGTAGGCCGTCTTGGAGCCCTGTAGGGAGCCTCTTGGGCCGTCTTCGGGCGATCTTGGAGGCCTCGCGGGCTGTCTTGGATGCTCTGAAAGCTCCAGAGACGAATACTCTAAACACATACGTCATCCGGGAATTGGGCCATTGTTGCCTCTTGAGGCCCTCTTGGGAATTCTATTGGGGGCCTCTTGGGGCCTCTTGGGGGCCTCATGAGCCGTCTTGAAGCCATCTTGGGCATCTTGGAACGATCTTTCGGCGACCTCGGGCCGCCTGGAAGCAGCTTGAAAGTCTGCCACACGTACCTGGGAGGGCCAAGAGCCGCCCAAGGAAGGGACCAGAGGCCGGGTACTGAAATCAAGGCTTTTCGGGCAACCTGGACCCCCCCACCCGTGATTACATGCACATATATATATATATAGAGATACACTCGTACACGTATGTGTATATATGTATATGTGTGTAAAGAAATGTGTATACGCACATATGATATATACACATATATATATGTATACATGCATTTACATACATGTAAGCATACATATAAAATGTGTATGCAAGGACATAAAAGCGTGTGTGTATATATGCATACATACATACATTCATGCATGCAAGCATGCATGCATACAGACATACATACACATATACACATGTATACATATATATATATATATATATACAATACTTGGTCCCCTTCTGTTTGGACCAAACTCTTCTGCGCAACCCCGACACCCAGCCTCGATCAGCCCGCCCCTGCGCGCCGCCAGACCCCAGGGACAGGCGGCGGCGGTGCAAGATGCTTCTCTTGGAGGCAGGGGCCGCACGGAGGCCACACAACCTGGTGCAAGGGTACGACGGCGGGGGAGACCGTACCGCATCGCCGCTGCATCGCGAGGGTATCGGCGACGTCGGGGTTCGACGGGTACATCGGCGACGTCGGGGCAGAGAAAACGCCGGGCTCCGGATAACGCCGCAACGCCAGAGCCTCGATATGGCAGGTCCGTCGCGCGCCAGCGATGCGGCGTTGGTCCGTGACCCCGGGCAGCCCTTTCCAACCCATCGCAGCGCAGGATTCGGCTACAGTGCAGGCCCAATCACAAGAAACCTTCCTCAAGAAACCCAACCCTGAGACTACAGGAGGTCCATCGAACTCTGGTGTGGAAACCTCACGCTGTCCATCGCAGAACCATCGAAACCCAATAAACCAAAGGCACTCTGGAGGCAAGCATGGTGTTTCTTGGCATGCATGGGCCCTCACTGTACGCGCAAGGAGTGACCTCAGGCATGAGTGACCCATGGTGCGCGGCCCAATGGGGCCGCGGCGGGGCCAAAGCCAAGCGCGCAAACCAGCGCCTGGAAGGGCCCCTGTGGGCCCGCACTACAAGCCACTCCGGCGAAGGGTCACTCTTACCTTACGCGTAGCCGAAAGATGATCGTCCGTGACTGGCTGGCGCCAGGTCCGCTGGCGGCGCGCTTTCCCGGGAACGCCCGCTCTGGCGCCGCCACCAAACTAGCGCGGAAAAAACCTGCCGGAGTCCACGCCCTACGCGGGCGGGCCTGCAGCCCCTTCTTCGGTACCGTAGCACCCCGCAGTTGCGGACAAGAGTGAGGAGGTGGCGAGGACGTCGTCAGCCTGCGAGGCTCTGAAAAAGCCCGCCGCAGGCGCCGAACTTCTACAAATTATGCATCGAGACCGCCACAGGCGCCGATTTTTAAAGCAATGTGGGTGAATCGCGGGGTGGGTGCGGGCTGGGTCACGGGCCGGGTCGCGGTTGGGTCGCGGGGTGGGTCCTAGGGTCGGTCGCGGGTGGATCGCGGGCGGGTCACGGGGTGGGTCGGGATGGGTCGCAGGCTGGGTCGCGGGCTGGGTCGCAGGGTGGGTCGCGGGGTGGGTGGCGGGGTGGGTCGCAGGGTGGGTCGCGGGCTGGGTCGCGGGGTGGGTCGCGGGTGGGTCGCGGGTGGGTCGCAGGGGGGACGACGACAAACAACAACAACAACAACAACAACAACAACAACAACAACAACAACAACAACAACAACAACACTAACAACAAGCACAACAACAACAATCATTATACAACTGTTCGCTGCTACTTGTCCGAGTGTCATTCAACACAAGTCCCCCACACCCTCGATACCCGTTCTTTTCGCCTTCGATCACACCCGCTTGTGGGTGATTATTTCTCTTTGCGGGGGGGCGGCGGGCTTAGACAGGCGGGCAAACCTGAACGGGCGGACAATCCTACGTGGGCGTACATGTGCCCGGAATTGGTGGGCCCTGCAAAAAGAGGAGGGGGAGAACGAGGGAGAGTGGGAGGACGGTAGGGACGAAGGAAGATGGGAAAAGCAAGGAGAGGAGGAGCGAAGAGGGGGGCGGTTGATTAGAGGCAGCGAGAAAGAGAGAGAGAGAGAGACAGGCAGATAAGAAAGGCAGAGAAAGAGAGACAGAGAGGGGAAAGAGAGAGAGAGAGAGAGAGAAAAAAAAAGAACGAGGGAGGGAGGAGGCAGGAGAGGGGAGGGAGAAGGGAGGAGGGGGAGGACGGAGAGGGGATAGGGCAGAGAGGCATGAGGATGAGGGAAGAGAGGAGGGAGAAGGGAGGAGAGGAGGGAGGAGGGAGGAGGGAGAGGGAGGATGAGCAGGAAGGTAAGAGCTTGAACGTTCGAGGAAGTCCTACGCGAAAGAGCCGTTCCTGAAGGAAGTCTCGGGCGGGAGCCCACGACGGGCGGGCGATCCACTGACGGGCGGGTCGGGCGGGTGGGACATTCAAGCGGGATGCCTGAGTATGGCGAGAGCGCGATTCCTAAGTAAATTGTGACGGCGTCCTTGGCGCAGCGTGTTTCCTGAGCGTCGAAAGCGCGATTTCTGAATACATTGCATCGAAGTCGCATGCGAGAGCGCAATTCCTGAATTAAATGTGATGGTTTCTCTGGCGGAAGCGGGGGTCTTGACAAAATTGCAAAGACGTCTTGACTCAATTGCAAAAAAAGTCTCAAACGGGCGCGCCGTTCCTAGATAAAATGTGAGGAGGTCTCAGATGGGAGCGGGGGTCCTGACTAAATTGCGAGGACGTCACCGGCGATGCGGCGATCCTGAGTAAATAGTGAAGAGGTCTCAGGCGGGAGCGGGGGTCCTGAGTAAATTTGGAGGAAGTCTCAAGCGGGAGCCGTTGTTGTTGTAAACCGGGGGCCAGGGGCACAGTTTGAGCATCAAGACTTCCCCTGTCAGAAAACAGGGTGCCAGCGTCGAGGGGCACACTTTGATGGAGAAAAAACAGTATGCACCGCTGAGGGGGAATAACTATTCTTCAGACCAACAACACCAACAACAGAAGCAGTGCAGCAGCAACAACGGCAACAGCAACAGCAACAACAATAACACTAGTAACAACAGCAACAACAACAGCAACAACAACACTATCAACACTAACGACAACAACAACAACACCAACAACAACAACAACAACAACAACAACAACAACAACAACAACAGCAGCAGCAGCAGCAGCAGCAGCAGCAGCAACAACAACAACAACAACAACAACGCAACAAGCAGGATCCTCCCCATGGATCCCCACTGGAGCCAAGCACGCACGGGACAATGAATGACCACTCGGCCCCCTCACTCTGATGATATCTGTGCGGGTTTCCTTGACCTGCGTACTCCAGATTTCGTGATAAAGGGAGGGGGGTCTCATTTCGGGGGGGGGTCTCTTCCAGGCTATCTTGGAGGGCCGGGGGGGTCTGGGGACGATGTTTTGGAGGGGTCTCCCACGGGGGAGGTCTGAAATGGCTTGCCCTGGAGGGTCCAGACCCCCTCCCTTCTATTACGAAATCTGGAGTAAGGCTTCCGAGAGCTTCGGTGACTTCTTCCGCACCCTCCGCGGAGGAAAGGGAGGCATGGAAGGTGGAGGTCGGGAGGGCAGGCCCGCCGCCTCCGGGCCGCCCTGCCCCGCAGAATCTCCGAGGAGGGCCCCGCGGGAGGTTGGGCGCCCGAGTTATCTGGGGTAACTCGGGTCCGGGGTAACTCGGGTTCGGGTTCCCGAAAAAGCGAACCCGAGTTATCCCTGACCCGAGTTACCCCTGATGATTCGGGGCTCTGGGCGCCCGAGTTATCCGGGGTAACTCGGGTCCGGGATAACTCGGGTTCGGAATCCCGAAAAACGAACCCGAGTTAGCCCTGACCCGAGTTACCCCTGATGATTCGGGGCTCTGAGGAGGGGCAGCCGAGGCGCGGGCGGAGCAGCAGGTCCTGCAGCACGATCCTGAGCTGCGTCTTCCGCGCATCGATCGCCGCCAGGTCCCCCGGCGCCCCCATCAGCGTCTTCGCGGGCATCTGCGGGAGGGCGCCGTACTTGCTGCCCGCGAGGGCTTTGAGCAGCGCGTCGAACTCGCTGAATCGCTTCGCCACCTCCCAGGAGGCCTCCCCATGATGCAGGCTGACGTCGGGCAGCCACACAGGAGCCCCAAGCACTCACGCCGCCACAGATCTGGGCGCCCTCGAAAGACCGCCCCGCGCTCACGTCTCGGGGTGCGTTCCGGCAAGAATTCCGAGATGGCTCGGACCATGGCCACAGGGGCGCATCGAAAAGGCCCATGGCGCAGAAACAGGAACATCAAAAGGCCTCCATCTTAGGTCGGGCCTGTCCCCCTACAGGGGGATCTTGGAGGACAACTTTTGAGTATTAGAAGAATCTTGGATCTTGGGGATCTCAGAAGAACATTCAAAGGTAGAAAAAATGGTCCAAAAGATCCCAGACCATTACCTAAAAACTATTCTTGAATATTCCTCCTGTGGAGGGACAGGCCCGCCTTGGCTCTACCTGCGTTCGACCCCGCCGAGGCGTTCGGGACCCGCCCAGAAGCAGCCCCCAGACCTCTCCAGGCTTCCACCCTGACCCGTCCCTGCGAGCCGCGCCCGCCCCCATGGCCGCGGGCGACGCACAGACGAAGTCGGCACGACTTTCTTGCGCTCCGTGGTGGTCGCATGCGGAAATCAGGGGCCCCCAGACGGGGTGGTGACCGCGCCGTGTGGTGAGTCGGTGGGGATTCGGGGTCACCGCAGGGTTTTGGGACTCGGGTCGTTCTCCAAGGACGTCTCGGGCGACTGGGGCCTCCGGGGTCCCAAAACCGTGCGTTGACGGCCCGTGCGGTGAGGTCTTGGGGGATTTCGAGGTCACCGCACGGTCTGTCACAGCACCGTTTCGGGACTCCAAAGGAAAACTCTGGGGGGCTCCAAAAGTCTCATGGAGGTCTCAGGGCAGAGGTGACGGCGGTGACGAGCGAGGTTCTGAGCCTCTGGAGGCCCAGAAGTAAAAAGAAACGACGGCAACAGGAACACGAAGTCGTGCAGACATCACCACCGGAATCTCTGAGAATCGGTGGCCACGGAGGATGCAGCGGGCGCCGCGTGCGTGAAAACGCGTTCCACGACTCTCTCGGCCGAGGCGTCCTTCTCCGCACCTCCGCCGCACGAGGTGGCATGAAGCCCAGCTTGTTCTGAGGGCAGCGGGGCCCGGCCTCTGGCCACACACACCCAGGACCAGCCTGCCGTACCACAGCCGCCTTCCGGCGATCCTCTGGCCCGTGGAGGGGGCTCCCGGGAGCCGGGGGCGTCCGAGAGGGGGGCGTACTATAGAGGGGCGGGCGCAAATCGTGGCCAGAGCACGTGCGCGGCCCAGGGGGGGGGGGGCCGGGGACACGTTGAGATGAGAAGAGGCGCCATCAAACCTGGGGAGACATCATGGCCCGCGACAAGAGATCTCCCCCCCCCCAGTCATCACCCCCTCGTTGCCGCCCCTGACGGAGACGTGGAGGGGCGAGACACCCCGGGACCCACTGCTCTCGGAGAATGGCGACACGATGGGCTCGCGTGCGGCTGCCGGGATGTGGTACCGGTACGTGGAATGGTCCTCGGTGGGCGAGGCCCTGGTCACCGAGACCAGCAGGTCCGCCAGCGCGGCCATGCGGGCATTCAGGCCGCCGAGGCTCTCCCGCCGGGGGGTCTCGCTCGGAAAAATGACTGCGGGAAGCACCACAGCACCATTCCCTGTCGTCGTGCCCCTCCTCCTCCTCCTCCTCCTGCTCCTCCTCCTGCTCCTCCTGCTCCTCCTCCTCCTCCTGCTCCTCCTCCTCCTGCTCCTCCTCCTCCTCCTCCTGCTCCTCCTCCTGCTTCCCCCTCCATCCGCGTTGCCGGACAGTCCCTCCGCCCTGTCACACCCCAAGCGGTGTCGGCAGGGCAGGCCCGGGCGTTTCGCCCGAGGCCTCCTCCCGTCCTGAGGCCGGAAGTGTGCAGCGGACTCGAGGAGGGAGGGCGCAGCGCTCTCAAAGGGTGGCTCGTGCCTCTGCAACGCGCAGCTCCGTCTTGCAGGTTCGGAGCAGCCTTCTCACAAGCGGGGCGGAGCGTTCTCAAAGGGTGGCTCGTGCCTCTGCAACGCGCAGCTTCGTCTTGCAGGTTCGAAGCAGCTTTCTCCCAAACGAGGGTGGGTCCACTGCAGTCAACATTTAGCTCTCGCCCCAGCGCCGTGCACACTTGCCTTAAAGATTTGCAGCGATGTCACTGGTGAGGGTGGGTACTTCCAAATGGGCTCTCGTCTCAGCGCCGCGCACGTTCACGATTTAGAGCGGCTCCTGCTCAAAATGTCACTCTCGCCTTAGCGCCGAGCACATTCGCGCTGAAGTTTGCACCTGTCAGGACAAAGCAGTCACATGGATTCGCGGTGTTGAAATCAAAAAATTGTGTTCTCACACGATTCAGGCTTGTCAAGGCGAAAAAGTCACGTTGATTCGCGGCGCTGAAGTCCCACGAATTGGGTTTTGGCACGTTTGATGGTTTTCTGACGGTTGCTTTGCCGCTAGGTCACTCCCAGCAATGAAAATACCTTATTACAGGGACGTGAGACCCCCAGGTAGCCTCAAGAGGCTCCCGCGAGCCTCCAAAGCGGCCCCCACGAGCTACCCAGAAAACACTTAAACACAGGAGCCCCCAAGACGACTTCAAAAGAATGTCCCGACTTCGGGGGTCCCCAGGTACGCCCAAAGTCGTCTTGGGGGCTCCAGGCATGCCCCAAGACGACTTCAAAAGAATGTCCCCCAGAAGCATCCATGAGGACTCTAACGCACGTCAGCGTCGTCGTCGTCGTCGCCGCCGCCGCCGTTGACGTTGTTCCCCTTCATGGTCGGCGGCACTGGCCACAAGGCCTTCGCAATCCATTCTTGCAGGGACGTAATAAGAGGGAACTTGGAGGGAGGGTTTCTTGCAACATCGTTGGTGGCACTTGGGTGTGCTCAGGTCCTCCTCCTTCCTCCTCGTCGTCCTCCTCCTCCTGATACTGAAGGCAGATTCTTCAATAGACTGACGCCGCTTTCCCTCTCACTCCAACCTTCGACGGGGAGATCGCTTCACAGTAGTAGTCGTCGAAGTACTAGTAGTAGTAGTAGTAGTAGTGGTAGTAGTAGTAGTAGTAGTAGTAGTAGTAGTAGTAGTGGTGGTAGTAGTAGTAGTAGTAGTAGTAGTAATAGTCGTAGTAGTTAGTAGTAGTAGTAGTAGTAGTAGCAGTAGCAGTAGTAGTAGTAGTAGTAGTAGTAGTAGTAGTAGTAGTCGTAGTAGTAGTAGTAGTAGTAGTAGTAGTAGTAGTAGTAGTAGTGATAGTAGTAGTAGTAGTCGTAGTAGTAGTAGTAGTAATAGTACTACTAGTACTAGTAGTAGTCGTCGTCGTCGTAGTAGTAGTAGTAGTGGTACTAGGAAGCGTGGTAGTAGTCGTAGCAACAGTAGTAGTAGAAGTAGTGGCGGTAGTAATAGTAGTAGTAGTAGTAGTAGTAGTAGTAGTAGTAGTAGTAGTAGTAGCAGTAGTAGTAGTAGTAAGTAGTAGTAGTAGTAGTAGTAGTAGTAGTAGTAGTAGCAGTAGTAGTAGTAGTAGTAGTAGTAGTAGTAGTAGTAGTAGTAGTAGTAGTAGTAGTAGTAGTAGTAGTAGTAGTAGTAGTAGTAGTAGTAGTAGTAGTAGTAGTAGTAGTAGTAGTAGTAGTAGTCGTAGTCGTAGTAGTAGTAGTAGTAGTGGTGGTGGTGGTGGTGGTAGTAGTAGTTGTTGCATTTATCCAGGGTGGACGGTTAAACGTGAGCATCTGGCTGGGCCCGTTCCCCAGCCCACAATTGGAATAAGCTTCCCTCTACGAAGCCCCCAACAAGGCAGAACGCTACCTGCGATCGACCCCACAGGGCGGGAGGCGGCAGCGGAACAGAGCGGCTTCCAAAGAACATCCGTCCAGCAGGACGGCTCCAGAAGTAGAGGGGCAAGCAATGACATGAACATAACAACTCGGAGGTCCGCGCGGATTCTTCGGATCAGCTCTGGGGCGCCCTGGCGGCAATCCGCGCGGACCTCCGAGTTTTTATGTTTGTGTCATTGGTCGTTCCCCTGGTAATTAGTGCGCGAAGCGCACGGAGAGGCAAGGAATGCATCAGACACTTTAGCTCAGTGAAGCACTGGAGCATCATGCGGTCGGCACTCTTGTTCCAGGGCGCGACTCGGCAGCAGCCTTTTTTGAATCATTCGCGAGAACGGGCGTGATCGGGGGAGGGGGGGGAGAGTTCGCCATCCCCATCACATCACGGCTGGGGGCCGCCAGAACTCTCAGGAAATCCTTGAAGAATGTCGAGGACATCTTTGCAAATCTGGCCACGAAGGCGTGACGTGATCCGGGGGCGGCGGGGGGAGAGGGAGGGAGGGCGAGGGCAGGGCACGACCGTTATCGCCCGGACCTGACAGAACAGGCTCCAAGGTGGGAATCTCTCCTCGACCCTCCGAGGATAGGTATTCTCGACCCTCAGAGGACAGGAGTCGGCCACACGCAAGAGTGACCCTGGGTAAGAGTGACCTTTGCTGCGCGGCTTTTTGGGGGCCGCGGGGGGACCAAACCTGGGCGCGCAAGCCGCTGTTCCTGCCTCGCTTTCAGCCATCTGGGGACCCATCTGTGCCCGCACCAAAGGTCACTCCGGCGAAAGGTCACTCTTACGTCTAGTCGAAGGAGAAAGGAACGCAGGGCCCTCAGGGCCTCTCGACCCCTGCCCCGATGGCCAGCCCTCGCGTAACCCCGGCGCCACTCCCACGGACGGCCTCAGGGCCCGGGGAGCGAGAGTCGGGGGGCTCGGGCCGGCCCAGCGGGGCCGTCCGGAAAACGACGAGGCCCGGCCTGAGATCTGCCATGATAGGCGGCGAGCGAGGGGGGGAGGCGAGAAGGAGAACGCCTTCTCAGAAGGCGGCAAGACTTCTCAGAAGCCCTCGCGCTTTCTGAAAGGTCTTCTGCATCCTCGGGGAAGGCTTGGGACACTTCTCAGAA